CGACCCCGAAGTCTCTGTAGCAGAAAAGCGCCATCTTCTACATTGGGATCAAGACATCGCATACCGCAAGGGCTCCACAAAAATATGGGTACCTAATTACCCTCCCTTACGCCAGTTACTGCTCGAAGAATATCATGATGTTCTCTACGCGGGCCACTTCGGTAGTAACAAGACGCTTGCCGGTATTGCGAAGCATTATTATTGGCCCCACATGGCAGATGACGTACAAAAATTCGTCACCTCGTGCGACACATGCCAACGGATGAAGAGTAGCAAACAGAAGAAAGCAGGATTACTACAGCCTCTTCCAGTCCCTGAACAGCCTTGGCAAGTGGTTAGCCTCGACTTCATCACCGGGTTACCACCTACCAAAGCTGGTTACGACGCCATTCTAGTCGTCATCGACAAATTCTCCAAAATGGGACACTTCATTCCGACACACACAACGGCTCGCGTCGAGGAGACAGCGCAAATATTCTTCCGCTACGTCATCTCGCAACATGGCATTCCAACCACGCTGATCTCCGACAGAGACCCGAAATTCACGAGTAAATTTTGGAAGGAGCTCATGTCGCTTATGGGGACCAAACTCGCCATGTCATCAGCCTATCTTCCCCAAACGGATGGTCAGACAGAGCGCCTCAACCAGATTGTCGAACAGCTTCTGCGAGCAGCGTGTAAGGACGATATCTCTAAATGGGATGCACATCTGCCGGTTCTCGAGTTTGCGTACAACAACGCCACGCACGCCGCAACAGGGCAAACTCTTTTTTTCCTCTGTTACGGTCGCAACCCACTCACGCCTCAGAAACCAACAGTACCCGCCACGGTGCAACCCGCACATGACTTCATTTCCACTATGCACTTATTGTGAGAGCGCACGCATAAACGTCTTCTAACTATCCAGCAGCAACAAAAGAAGCTCGCTGATCGGAGTCGCAACGATCATTCCATCCAGATTGGCGATCAGGTGCTTCTGGATACACGCAATCTCGACATTAGCCATCTTTCGTCTAAGCTCCGACCTCGCTTCTGCGGACCTTTTCTCGTCGAGGCGCAGGTCACTCCAGTAACCTTCCGCTTGCGTTTACCAGCTACCTGGAGAATTCACAATGCCTTCCATGTTCAACTTCTCAAGCCCTATCAGGACCCAAACACGGTCTTCAAAGGTCGCCAGCCGCCGCCGCCACTGCCAGTGATCGTTAATGGGGAACCCGAGTACGAAGTCGAAGCCGTTCTGGCGCACCGACGACGACGTAGCGGCACCTTGGAGTTCTTGATTCGTTGGAAAGGCTATGATCCTTCCGAGGATACCTGGGTACCTGAACACGACATGGATAACGCCCGCCGTCCTCTACAGGACTACCTTGTCAAGTAGGGTGTTACTTCTACCACCCAGCTTTGAGGGGGGGAAGTGTGAGAGGACGTCCCCGTTATAATATTTTCTCACTATTATATTTTTCCGTTATCCCATTCTCCCTTTTCTCCTCTTTATTTTGGTCTTTATCTCATCTCAATCGGCCTACTATTCTATTTTCTAGAGCCTTCTATTTATTTCTCTTATTTCCTACTTTTCCCACCGACATACCTATTATACGGCACCGACAGTGGTGTATACGGTGTAATCTGGGCGTAATCCCAAGTGCCAATAGACTTGCGTGCTTATGCGCACTTGTGATTGTAGTATCGGGAAGGGTGTGTTCCCGAAGGTTCGTTTTATCTCGTTTATCCTTGTACTTTCCGAGTATAAATAGGCCTTGTATTCAGTTTTAGTGACAAGTTTCGATTGAGAATTCGATCCTGTGACAGCAGGTGGGTAATGAGGTCGGCTACTGTGGCAAAAGCAGCAAGGTCGGGAAAGAGGTACGGTAGCATGAGGCGGCTCAGTGCAGCAGTGGCAGGGGTGGAGTAGCGTGCAATAACGGCGTCGTACAAGGTCTTAGCACTCTTGTACGACCCAAAGTGCGCACGCTCAGCGGGAGGGAGGTGGCGACGCACAGCAAGACGTGCAGCAGCATCGCGTGTGGCCCACTGTGAGCGAACAGTGGCATCCTCAGTAGCAGCAGGGGCGGGAGAGGCACCAGAAGTGAGATCAAAGAGAGAGAGTCCGTCAGCTCTGTCGCATTGTAGGAAAAGCAGTAGGTCGTCTACCCACACGTCAAAGTCAATGGCTCTGCCCTCAGCGTCAAAGGCGAGGACACTGGGGGTAGCCATGACAGCAGTAGAGAGAGGGCAGTGCGCAGAGTAAAGCTCAGTGCTCACCAGACAGGGCAGTGCAGGGAGGGCTCGGGCGGCTCGGGCGGCTCGGGCGGCTCGACTGCTGGGCGGCTCGGGCGACTCGGCGGCTCGGGCGGCTCGGGCGGCACTGCAGCTGGGGCGGCTCGGCTGCTGGGGCGGCTCGGCTGCTTGGGCGGCTCGGCTGCTGGGGCGGCTCGGCGGCTGGGGCGGCTCGGCTGCTGGGGCGGCTCTGCTGCTGGGGCTGCTCGGCCGGGAGATGCACGGGCGGGGCCGTCAGGCGCAGCGGCGGGCCGGCAGGTGCAGCGGCGGGTCGACCGGTGCAGCGGCGGGCCGGCAGGTGCAGCGGCGGGGCCGTAGGGTGCAGCGGCGGGCCGGTAGGTGCAGCGGCGGAGCCGTCAGGTGAAGCGGCGGGCCGCTGGGTGCAGCGGCGGGCCGTAGGGTGCAGCGGCGGGCCGGCAGGTGCAGCGGCTGGGCCGTCAGGTGAAGCGGCGGGCCGGCAGGTGCAGCGGCGGGCCGTAGGGTGCAGTGGCGGGCCGGCAGGTGAAGCGGCGGGCCGCTGGGTGCAGCGCCGGGCCGTAGGGTACAGCGGCGGGCCGGCAGGTGCAGTGGCGGGGCCGTCAGGTGAGGCGGCGGGCCGTAGGGTGCAGCGGCGGGCCGTAGGGTGCAGCGGCGGGCCGGCAGGGCCGCGTCAGAGCCGGCGGCGGGGCCGCGTCAGTGGAGGCGGCGGGGCCGCGTCAAGCAGGCGGCAGGGCCGCGTCAGTGGAGGCGGCGGGGCCGCGTCAAGCAGGCGGCGGGGCCGCGATCAGGAGGGGTGGCGGGGCCGCGTCTGAGGGACAGCGGGGCCGCGAGGGAAATGGCGACCCGAGGGGTCGCTAAAAAAAATGCGCGCCTCGGGGCGCGCTTCGGTGGGCCCTAAAAAAAAAAACCGGTCCTTAGGAAGGACCCGCTCTGATACCATGTGAAACAGGTAAACAGGAATGAAATGACTAAGGAAAGATTGGGTACAAATACAACCCTAGAAACCCTGTACCCCATATGTGCTACCCCACTATAGCCTACAGAAACTATGTCATATAAATCTGACACTGTGTTCATCCCTCCTTAGTATCACGTTTTAAATAACGGGGAAACAAATGTAGGATTAAATGAACGAGTCCGAAAGACTGATAACGAGTTTCCTCTTCTAAACGAGTGCGCGTCGGAATGTATTTGGACGGTCCGGCAGCCAATAGAAACAAAGTTGCAACAAATCGTCACGCGCCAGGTGTCCTGTGCGTGTTCGCTCAAATTTCCCGAACCAAGTCGGAGGGCTTGGGAGACATTCTCTGCACCAGTCGATCTCTTCTTGTCAGATGTATCGGAAACCAATCGCAATTCGCGGGAAAACGCCAGGAGTCGAAAACCACTCAGCAACAACTCGTTCCCAACAAGTTTCCCACACCCCCCAAATTGGCGATGAAATTGCACCGGCTAGGATAAATTGTACCGGCAACGATAAATTGTACCGGCTAGGATAAATTTTACCGGCTACGTTAAATTGTACCGGCTACGATAAATTGTACCGGCTACGATAAATTGTGCCGACTACGATAAATTGTACCGGCTACGATAAATTGTACCGACTACGATAAATTGTACCGGCTAGGACAAACTGTACCGGCTACGATAAATTGTACCGGCAACGTGTCGTGCAATGCTTACATAACATTCTACGATTCTTTAGCCTATATTTTAATCGCCTAAAAAACAGGTTGATACGATACAGCTGCAAAGCATACCATCTGTACTGTACCAGCTAGGATAAAGAGTCCTGACAACGTGTAGTGGCCATCTGTACGGCTAGGATACAGTGTCCTGGCAACTTCACCGGCAAATGTCATTCGAGCGGGACTAAGTGTGTCTCTCAACTGCCGTGCCCACTCACCCACTTTTTGCCGCGTTCCCCTTGCCTTGCCTACTGAACTGACCCAGTTTTCGCCCCCATTCCCACTCCCTTCGTCTCCTCTCCCTCCCTCCCTGTGTGCTGGCAGGGTGACACGTGTGACTCACTCAATGCCCTCTTCTCCACGTAGATACAGCCACTCAACCCCGCCCTCAGCTGCTCTGACGGGCCCAGGCCCGGCCAGGTGAGCAACGGTGCAGGTGTGTGTAAGGGGGTGTAGATGGGTGTAAGTGGATGCAGCCCATAGCACATTGGGGACTTTGAAGAGATGCGGCAATATCATGAGCTGACTTTTGAGTCGGCTCAAAAGTCGAATTCGGTGAGCTGCGGCATTATCACGGTATGATATGAATTCACATCGCACTGTTTCAAATCGTATCGCATCGCGTCTAATCACTCACATCACATCACCTCACACAAAATTTAATGCATATTAACAACTCTCCCCTTCCCCCTCTCCACTCCCCTTTCTCCCCACTCCCTTCTTCCCCTCTCTCCTCCCCACCCCCACCCCCACCCCCCCCCCCCCGGGCTTCAGCTCCTCTGTGTGGACTTCAACAAAACGTGGCTAGAATTGGGAAAAACCCACCTGGAATGCAACCACTATGCGCAAATCACCCCAACCGCAACCACAACCCCATCCCCACCCACCCCCGCTGGGATTCAACCACCCAAGTCTAAGAGCCAAGGGGCGGCAATGACTGAGCCAATCCTTCAACCACCCCCTCTTGTAGCCAACTACGCGAGCCAAGGCATGCTCGTTACTGAGCGGGGCCTTCAACCACCTCCCCTCCTAGCCAACTATACAAGCCAAGGCGTGTTAGTGACTGTGCTGCAGGGCCCGCAGAGCTGCCAGCAGCTGTGGCGGGCGTTTGCCATCTCCTCCCCCACGCGCTTCTTCCAGATGAATCCCGGCGTCTCCTGCAACTCGCTGCTTCCACACAGCCCCCTGCAGGGCAACATGATGAGCAAGGTGCGCTGGGTTGCATGGCCTGTGTGTGGGGTGTGGGGTGTGCGGTGTGGGGTGTGGGGTGTGGGGTGTGGGGTGTGCGGTGTGGGGTGAAAAAGTGAGGGTCATGCTCCTGCCACACAGCCCCCTGCAGGGCAACATGACGAGTCGGGGGAGCTGGGCCAGGATGTTTTTGAGAATTCTTGAAACCTGAGAATTCTCAAAAACTCCCTGCTGGGCCAGGAAGGTCTGAGTATATTTTTTAGGCGCCTCAGAAACTGCTGGGCTAGGAGGGTATGAGTATCCGCTCTCTCACCTGCCTTGGGAAAAGCAGCTTTCGAGTCGACTCAGAACAAGGTGACTTTTGATACGACTCAAATGTCTGTTCGCACACTCATCTGGTATGAAAAATGGCCCCGTTAAGGGGGGTTGAAGGGGGGGAGAGTGAACCTTCTGCAGTGCCTTCATCCTTACACGCTTCTTCTAGATGTCTAATATCAGCCTCTTGTGCGATCCCTTCCCTGCTACTATGCTTGCTTGCAGATTTGAGTGGCTGGCACCGACACGTGGCCGTGCTCTGGCTTTACATGTCCAACTAAGAGACGCTTTTCTAGTCGCCTAATAAATCTTTTCCTTTCCTCCCATTCCCACTGATTGGTTGACTTGCAGATTTGTGTGGCTGGCACGGACACTCGACCGTTCTCTGGTTTTATATGTGCGACCAAGAGACCGTACAGTGTGAAGCACGGGGATACATGCGGCATGTTGACCGCCAAGAAGTATCGGCGCAGCACTGATGTGTTTAGGGACCTTAACAATGGATATGATTGTACAGTGAGTAGGTTATATGCTGGCATGTTGCTTTGTTTGCCTTGAATAAGATAGGTAGTTCAATTTTACCGGTAATTTGTTATTGTAAGCTAAAATTGGAATGTTACGGCACCAAGTATGGTACAATGATCGCACTGTAGCATGCATTTTGTATCAGAAGCGCGGTATGGTGCTGGCAGCAGGGAAATGAGCCGGGTGGGCCTGATTACCCTGACTTTCAGGGTGTGTTTGTTTCTGTTTTACCTGTATGCAAATACTGTAGCAAATTTGTTACCAATTCAAAAGCAGGGTTCAGGAAGGCTGGCTCTGACTGACAGAGTGCCTGAGCCATTCTTATGTACCACAAGAACCTCAAAGAGAGTTCTTGTCATGTCGTGCACATAAAACAGGCCACTCCGTAAGCCTGTTCCTGCTAGACAAATCGCTCGCCCCACCTGATCTCATCAGGCCCGCCAAAGTCCCCCTTCCCCTATCCCTATCACCACTCCCTCGCTGCCAAAATCCCCTCCTGCCTTTCCCCACTCCTCCCTTCCCCACTCCACCCTGGACCATACCCCCCTGTCTCTTCCCAAATCGCGTTCCTCTTGCTGCCGCTCCCTCCCTGCCCATTGCCCAAGTCCCCACTTGCCTGTCCCCACTCCTCCCTGCCCTGTCCAGTGCCCTGCCTGCCCAACTCCGCCCTGACCATGCCAATCACCATACCCCCCGCCCGCCCCGTGTCTTCCCGAATCCCCTTCCTCCTGCCGCCCCTCCTAACCCAAGTCTCTGTGAGCCTCCCGTCATCCTCCCCCATCGCAGCCCAAGCTCCACGCCGTTCGTACGGTACCGCTTGTCTTGTCATTAACCATCCCAGCGGCCCAAGGCCCCCTTCCGTACCTCTTGAGTCGACTCAAAAGTCACCTTCCCTATCGCAGCCCAAGCTCCACGCCGTTCGTACGGTACCTCTTGTCTTGTCATCAACCATCCCCGAGGCCCAAGGCCCCCTTCCGTACCTCTTGTCTTGTCGTCAACCCATCCCTGCCCAAGCCTCCCCTCCCCTCCATACCTCGCGTCTGTCACCCCATCCCGGCCCAAGCCCCCCTTCCATACCTCTTGTATTGTCGTCGCCACGTCACCCCATCCCGGCCCAAGCCTCTTGTATTTGGCATTTACGCAGATGATGAGCGAATGAATATTAAGGTAGGCAAAGCATCATCCCAGCCCACAACTTATTCACGGTACAATCATATCCGTTATTAAGTTCTCTAAACATGTCAGCGCTGCGTCGATACCTCTTAGCAATCAGCAAGCCACACGTATCGCCGCGTTTCACAGTGTATAATCGCTTGGTTGAGCAGGTCAGGCCAGAGTACGGTCGAGAGTCGGTAGCAGCAACACAAACCTGAGAACCACCAAAAGTGGGGACAGAACGGAAGGGAAGAAAACACTTTTGAGGCGCCACAAAATTCGTTTCACAGTGTATGATCGCTTGGTTGAGCAGGTCAGGCCAGAGTACGGCCGAGAGTCGGTAGCAGCAACACAAACCTGTGAATCACCAAGAGTGGGGACAGAACAGAAGGGGAGAACAACTTTTGAGGCGCCTCAGAAGTCGTTTCGTTTCACACTGTATGGGCTCTTGGTTGAGCATGTCAGGCCAGAGTACGGTCAAGAGTAAGTAGCAGCCACTCAAACCTGAGAGAGGCACCAAGAGAGGGAACAGAACGGAAGGGGGGAAAACGTTGAGGCGTCTCAAAAGTCGTTTCACACTGTATGGCCTCTTGGTTGAGCATGTCAGGCCAGAGTACGGTCGAGAGTCGGTAGCAGCCACACCAACCGGCAAACCACCAAGAGTTGGGACAGAACAGAAGGGAACAATTGGCCTGAATTGGTAGGTAAGGAATCGCACGAGGACCCCCCAAGATTCTTACAGCAAGTGGAGGGGAAACTGCACACTCAGTCCCCCCTCCCCTCTCCTTCACCCACCCCCCCTCCCCTTCACTTCTCCCTTATCCCTTTCCCCACCACCTCCCACCGCCCTCAACCCATACACACGGGCATTCCGACTCACCTTCCTCATCATATTCCCCTGCAGGGGGCTGTGCGGCAGCAGAGAGTCGCACGAGAGGCCGGGATTCATCTGGAAGAAGCGCGTGGGGGAAGCGATGGCAAACGCCCGCCACAGCTGCTGGCAGCTCTGCGGGCCCTGCACCACAGTCACCAGCGCTCCGTCACTCGTGTAATTGGCTAGAGGAGGAGGTGGTGGAGGGCTGGGTGTGGCTCCGGTTGCTGTTGGGGTGATTTGGGCTAAGAGGTCGCATGGTACGCGGGTTTTTCCCTGTTCTAGCCACGTTTGGTTGAAGTCCACACATAGGAGCTGAAGAGGGGGGCGGGTGGGGAGGAGAGAGTGATCCTTGAGAGAGCGACTCAAACAATCGACTTATCAACTCTAGCCACGTTTGGTTGAAGTCCACACATAGGAGCTGAAGAGGGGGGCGGGTGGGGAGGAGAGAGTGATCCTTGAGAGAGCGACTCAAACAATCGACTTATCAACTCTAGCCACGTTTGGTTGAAGTCCACACATAGGAGCTGAAGAGGGGGGTGGGTGGGGAGGAGAGAGTGATTCTTGAGAGAGCGACTCAAACAATCGACTTATCAACACTAGCCACGTTTGGTTGAAGTCCACACATAGGAGCTGGGACGTAGGGGCAAGGGGGAGCGGGGGGCAAGGGGGGAGAGGAAGCAGAGAGGAGAGAAGGGTGGGAGGATGTGTGAGTGAATACCCGCTCACACCTGCACACACCTGCACACACCCGCTCACACCTGCACTCACACCCACTCACACCCACTAACACCCACTCACACCCACTCACACCCACTCACACCCACTCACACCCACTCTCACCCACTCACACCCACTCACACCCACTCTCACCCACTCGCCCCCACTCACACCCACTCTCACCCACTCACACCCACTCGCCCCCACTTGCACCCACTTGCACCCACCTGCACCCACTTGCACCCACCTGCACCCACTTGCACCCACCTGCACCCACTTGCACCCACCTGCACCATTGCTCACCTGGCTGGGCCTGGGCCCGTCAGAGCAGCTGAGCGCGGGGTTGAGCGGCTGTATCTGCGTGGAGAAGAGGGCATTGAGTGAATCACACGTGTCACCCTGCCGGCAGGCACACGGGCACGGGAGGGGGGGTGGGGATAGGGGGGGTGAGGGAAGGAAGGATGGAGGGAGAGAGTGAGGACAGACAAACACAGGGTCATGGGCCCAGTAGAGAAGAGGGTGTTGAGTGAGTCACACGTGTCACCCTGCCCGCAAGCACATCGGGACCGGACCAGGGACGGGGAGACGAGGGAAGGGGAATGGGGGTGAAAACTGAGTGAGTGGGCAAGGCCAGAGAGAGGAGAAGAGGGAGCTGAGTGAATCACGCGTGTCACCCTGCACTCCACACACATGGGGAGGGAGGGAGGGAGGGAGGGTGGGGGGGAAGGGGGGATGGAAGGATGGGGAGAGTGGGATGGGAGCAGGCAAACACAGGGTTATGGGGTGAGTGGTGGTGCAATAAAGAGAGCAGAGAAGAGGGCGTTAGTGCCAAAATCAAGTGCCAGGCGATTACATAAATGCTGCACTTACGTAAACGCGGGCACTTACATAATTAGCAGTGTACATGGCAGTGCATTGGGAGAAAGCCCGGCTGGTGATGTTAACCAGAGTGTCTACAGGGATGGGCGCTCTGCGCTGGAACCCCTGCACGACGGGCAAGGAGGGGCAATGAGGGGCGGTGACACAATAAGAGGCAATGCAGGACAGGTGACTAGAAGGGGAGCAGTATTGCAATTGTCAGTTTTTTTTCAAATAGCCCAGCCAGCCAGATTGCCTTTTGAGTCGACTCAAAAATCGCTGTGTTGTGCCCTGTAACCTGTTCTGATCGCCTTTTCTGAAACACGTCACAAGCCTAACCTTGTTTTGGCTGAAAAAGTCGACCGGAGTGAGCCCGTAAGTGTTGAGGATAAGCGCGCATGTGACTTTTGCGGCGCCTCAAAGGCCCACCTGACTGACAACCTTTGTGAAATCCGTCAAGAGGCTGACCTAGAGGCTGACCTTGGTCTGGCTGAAGAAGTCCGCCTGGGTGAGCCCGTAAGTGTGATGCAACATCACCTGATGTGATGTTATGTGACATGACCAAAGTCTTTCATGCCTTGTTTTGGCTAAGAAAGTCTGCTTGGATGAGCCCGTAAGTGTTGAGGATGAGAGCGCATGTGAGGCCGTAGGGCTGTGATGCGATCACCTGATGTGATGTGACATGACCAAAGTCTTTCATACCTTGTTTTGGCTGAAGAAGTCCGCTTGGGTGAGCCCATAGGTGTTGAGGATGAGAGGGCATGTGAGGCCGTATGGAGACAGGAAGGTGGGCATTCGAACCTCGATCAATTGCACTGCATGCATGGGGTAAGCATGGGTTAAGCATGGGATAATCATTGGGTAAACATGGGGTAAAAAAGAGGTAGGCAAGTCACTGCAAGCAGCAAGGCAGAGGTGACGCTTGAATTGACTCAGATGCAAGAATAGAAGATACAATTTCATCATTCAGAAGGATGGGCTTGATATCCAAGACCAACGTGAGCACTGAGTAAGCAGATTTTTGAGACGTCTCAAAATTGTTGAGACGCCACGTGTAGAAAGAAGATTTTTGAGACGTCTAAAAAATTCAAGGTCATCATTCAGAAGGATGGGCTGGATATCCAAGACCAATGTGAGCACTGAGCAAGCAGAGCCAACAAACCAAGCTCTGTTTAAACCAAGTCCAGTGCTGCTTAAGACTAGGGCTTTAGGCGGCCAATGTGAGCACTGAGCAAGCAGAGCCAACAAACCAAGTGCTGTGCTGCTTGAGACTCGTCCAGGGATTTAGGCAGACAGCACCCTTCGAGGGCAAAGGCAGGTAGCAAGCAAGTAAGCAAATAAGCAAGTAAGCAAGGGCAAGACCAAAGTAAGGACTGAACAAGTAAAGCCAACAAACCAAGCTCTGCACTGCTTGATTTTGAGTCAACTCAAGGGCAGAATTAAAGCCCAATGTGAGCACTGAGCAAGCAGAGCGAACAAACCAAGCGCTGCGCTGCTTGAGACTCCATCCAGGCCTTTAGGCGGACAGAACCCTAAGCCCTTTGAGGGCAAAGGCAGGTAGCAAGCAAGGGCAAGTGTTACGCACACTGGTAACAGCGGGCAGAGACTTTGGGGTAGAAATAGAAGGGGAAGTAGGGCGAGGGGCAGAGGCAGGAGTAGGTGCCGTCTATGTCGTCAATGCACACCCCCGGGGCACATGGGTTGCTGGCGAGCTGGCGACACGTGTAGGCCTCTGGTGAGGGGACGATGGGGGAGGGGAAAGAGAATTGGGGGGGAAGGGGGGGGCAGAGAGGGGAGAGAGGAGTGAGTGAGTGAGCAGCTGTCGATGCATCCCCCGGGGCGCATGGGTTGCTGGCGAGCTGGCGACACGTGAAGGTCTCTGGTGACGGGACGATGGGGGAGGGGGGATTGGGAAAATCAGAGTGAAAAGGGGGCAGGTATAGGAGCCATCTATGCTGTCTGTACACAGCATTCATGCACACCCCCGGTGCACATAGGTTGCTGGCGAGCTAGCGACACGTGAAGGTCTCTGGTGAGCGGATGGAGAGAAGGGAAGAGTAGGAAAATCAGAGGGGCAGAGGCAGGGGCAGAGGCAGGTGTAGGTGCCGTCTATGTCATCCATGCACACCCCCGGGGCACATGGGTTGGCGGGGAGCTGGAGACACGTGAAGGAATCTGGTTAAGAGAGGGAGAGAGGGGTGGGGTGGGGACGAGAATGGGGGGAGTGGGAAGAGAACAGGAGTGAGTGAACAGCACACCAGCACAACGTCAATGCACACCCCAGGGGCACATGGGTTGAGAAAGGAGGAGCAAGCGGAAATGAGGAGGAAGGGGATGAGCCGGAGAGGGAAAAGGTGGTGGGAGAGAAAGGAGAGGAGAGGATAAAAGGGGATACTGCAGGAGCAGCCATAGTGGATTGGAGTGCACACTTTTGAGAAATTTCAAGAGGAAATAAAACAAATCAGGAAAAAAAGTGTGTACGATTGCATATTCTCAAGGGAGTTGAGAATCGAGAACGAGTGCATCCCCATACAAACCAAAAGGGTACTTCACTCCACTTACCACACTCCACTTACCACACTCCACTTACCACACTCCACCTACCACACTCCACCTCTTGCCTACCGCACTCCACGTCTCACCTACCACACTCCACCTCTTGCCAACCCCACTCCACCTTTTGCCGACCGCACTCCACACCTTGCCTACCGCACTCCACACCTTGCCTACCGCACTCCACACCTTGCCTACCCCACTCCACGTCTCACCAGGGAAGCAGGAGGGCAGGCCGGTAAGATGAGAAGGTTGGAAGGAGGGGAGATTGAAAGGGCACTTGCAGGAGGGCAGGAGGACAGACGGGTCCCACGGGGCAGGTGCCTTGGTGCATGCACCCATGCCACAGGGGAGCACTGGAGAACCCTTGCAGGGGTCGGTGTCTGATGGGGAGGGGGGATATGGAGAGCAAAGGAACGTGAGGAAAAAGGGTCTGCGGCAGGGGGGGAGTGAAGAGAGCGAGGGTGTGAGGCACGAGGATAGACGGGTCCCACTGGGCAGGTGCCTTGGTGCATGCACCCGTGCCACAGGGGAGCACTGGAGAGGCCTTGCAGGGGTCGGTGTCTGATGGGGAGGGATGAAGGGTGTGAGGCAGGCAGAGGGTGAGGTGAGGAGAGAGAGGGTGTGAGGCACGGGGCTAGATGGGTCCCACTGGGCAGGTGCCTTGGTGCATGCACCCGTGCCACAGGGAAGCACCGGAGAGGCCTTTCAGGGGTCAGTGTCTGTTGAGGTGGGGAAGCAGTGAGAGGGACAAGGAGTGGGAGGGAAGGTGTTGGGGGGAGGAGAGGTGAGTCTCCCGTAAAGCAGGTAGGTAAGTTAAGGGGGAGGGGGGGATACTTGGCAACAAGATGAACGACCCTTACTTACTTCCCCCCTGGCTTTAAGTCGACCTGCCACTGCTGCTTCCACTGGAGTCAGCAGCACCAGTGAGGGCAGCACAGAGGTCAATGGTAACCCTCATGCGGGTTTTCAGAAGCGGAGGGCGGTACAACCTGATCAGCATCTCCTTGCTGCTCCCGTTATTGTCAACCCTCATCTGCCACACCTCGTCCGACTCCACAACATCTAACACCTTCTTTGCGAAAATTGACGTCATGTTGAAATCGGTGTTTACGCCGATGTGAATATCATTTATATCGGCCATTTCCGGGTTTGCTACAGTGTCCCATTCCACAGCTACACTCCGAGCGCCGTCCGGCCAGCTGCCATTAGCGAGTCGCGAGGATGGGTCTCGGCTGTATCCCATATAAGCCCCGCCTAGGCCCATGCTCGCGTGTGTGCTTATAACGAACGCGAGCCCATGGGAAGCGGATTTATTCATGGAAAACCCATATGTGAAGGTGAAAGAACGAGCCTTGCAGATTGGGGGTTTGCTTGTTGTGGGCTGAGGAGGTGAGGAGGAGCGAGGGGAGCTTTTGCGTGCACGAGGGAAGGGGGGAGGAGGGAAGGGAGGGGAGGAGGAGGAGTAGATGAGGGGGAGACGGCGAGGGAAGTAGAGGGCTCCGGGAGAGGGTTCGTTGGTAGATGCCACGTCAGCAGAAGCAACGGAAAGGTCAGCAGCGAAGAAACGCTTCCGTGTGCTGCCACGTGTCAGCAGGGGAGTGGCTGGCGTGATGTAGGGGAAGGAGAACGAGTCTACCGCCCAAAACGGAAGCGGATCCTCCGCTGCTGGGGTTGGCATGGTATGGACGGGAGAGGGGATGGGAAGAGTGGGTGAAAGAGAGAGAGGGTTGGGGAAGGGGAGGAGACGAGGGGAGAAGGGGGGAGAATTGGCTGGATGAAAGTGTTGGTTGTCGCACGGATCATGCCAAGTCATGGGGTGAAAGCACGTAACCCAACGTAACCCAGCGTAACACAGACACCATTGCGGGTATGTAGTGCAACACTGCGGATACATATGAAATTATATGCATGCCTGAAACTGCTAACCCTGGCCCAGTTGCAAGTGATGGGAAACACGAAATGCCCAACAGAATAACAAAAAGCACGGATGAGGGCACCTGAAGTGACTTTTGAGTCGACTCAAAAGTCACCGGATTACAAAAAACACGGATGAGGGCATCTGAACTCACCCTCCCCGACTTGAAACCTCCACTCCAGCACCTCTTAAGGCTACTCAAGCACCTCAACCTCCCAAACGTCAAACCGCCACCCCAGCACCTCGTGTGCCTGAGCCTGCTCCGCCCCTATCCCGTCCCCCCACCCCACGGCTGTATAATTATCAAGAGAATTCCAGCAACTCACCCTCTTCGACTTGGAACGTCCACCCCAGCACCTCGTGCGCCTGAGCCTGCTCCGCCCCCTTGCCCGTGGCCGCTGTGAATCCCACAAACAGCAGCGGGGGGGGCGCTGCTGCCACCGGGTCGTTCCCCCCCAGCCACTCGCAGGTGTCCAGGAACATGGAGAGCACAGCAGAGCGCGGGAGAGGGCGGGCGGAGGCGGAGGAGGAGGAGGAGGCGGAGCGGGAGGAGCGAGAGAAGGGGGAGGAGGAGGAGCGAGACGACCTAGGGAAGCCAGGGAAACCAGGAAAGCGAGGGGAGTAGCGAGAGGGGGAGGGGGAACGGGGGGAGGAGGGAGCAGGGGAGAGCCAGACGGTGAGGAGGGAGGAGGAGGCGTTGTAGTGGATGATGGCGAAGAGGGTTTGACCGGCGTTGAGGGACGGAATGCCGAGGGGGTGCACGGGGGCAGAGGTGAGAGAGAGCATGCTGCCGTGCAGGTTCACCCCCACGTGGTGGTCGGACCGGTCGAAGAATTCAGGGGAAGAGGATGTGTCAAACTCCACTGCCAGGCTCCTCTGCTGCTCGAATTGGGGGGGAAAGCAGGAAAGGTGGGATGGGGCATATTGAGAGATTCAGATGTAGAATTCGACTACGATAGCAGTAATATAAAGCTCGAAAGCACGATTACAAGTAACCAAAGATTAAAAATGTCAACCATGGCCAAGGATACATGCATACAAGTAACCAAAGATACACGCATACATATGAGCGGTGGTGACTTCGTTAATTGTTTAGCTGAGTTTTAGCGACTGAAATTCCGTAGACGAGAATTTCCGCGACCAGAATTCTGTCAACTGACAAAATGTAATTCCTGTTCTAGGAAGACTCTTTTGAGACAGTTGGGTCGAAAGATCTCCAGTTCAAATCTTGCTTGCACCATATATTGTCTGTTTGCGTAACTCATCCCAAATCTGTCCAGAGACACTGTATATTGACAATCACGGCTTCAAACCCATGGCAGCTTTTCCTTCTAACAAAGACATAATTCCAAACGTCATGACTGGTCTCGCCATGCCCAGACACCTAATTCCGCACCATTGAGACCAAGATTTGAAACGCAAGAGGAGGTGTGCCTGAGATAAGGCTAAGATGACACGTACCTGAGATGACACTGCACCAATGGAGCCGGAATCATCAGCACCAATTGTACTCCCCGGGGGCAGCAGCAGGCGGCCGTAGCCCAGGGACGGCCCCGGAAGGCCAAGCGTGGGAGACGGCAGCATCACAAACGCCAAGCCCTCGCCGCCCAGCCCGGCGGCGTTGGGGGAGATGCGGAAGGTGAAGGAGGTGGAGAAGGAGAAGGGGCGGCAGGGGGAGGAGGGCGTGGCGGGGTCGAGCAGGGCGAAGGGGGCGGGGTGAAGAGCAAGAGCAGCAGAGTTGAGGTCGGAGAGTGTGGTGAGGGAGAGGGAGGAGCGGTTGCGGCGCGCTGAGCCGGCTGTGAGGAGCGGGTGAGAGCTGGAGAGCGGCCAGTGGGTGAAGGACTTGAGAGGGGAGGGGTTGGCTGCAGGGCGGTGGGAGTGATGGGGAGTGGATTGGGATGGGGGAAGGTGAAGAGGGAGGAAGAGTGGGAGCAGACGTGAAATGAGGGATCGATGAACAGAGCACGAGTGGGTGGTTAAATCTTGGTTGTTGAGCATGTGTGCAGTGAATTCTTTCAATGCGCGGCGCAATGCATGCTTTCTGCCACACCTGAGACACACCTGAGACACACCTGTGACACAACTGTGGCACACCTGTGACACACCTGTGACACACCTGTGACACACCTGTGACACACCTGAAACACACCTGTGACACAACCGTGACCCTGCTTCTCTCACTCACAGCGAGTGGGCACAACAGACGCAGGGTCGATAGCCGTGCCGCCCGCTTCCAATGCCACACCCACTCTCACCAACCGTCTGTCCGCACGTACCCCCCCTTCTCACTCACCTGGGGCTCTATACCTCCCCACCTCGCCCGCCCTGCATCCACCTGTTCCTCTCTTACTCACTGCGAGTGGGCATGACAGATGCAAGGTCGATGGCAGTGGTCCCCGCTTCCAACGCCACTCCCTCTCTCTTCACTCCCACCTTCGCTCCCGCTCCTGCTCCCCCTCCCGTACTCGCAGCAACAGTGAACGCGGCTGCTCCCGGCCTTGCTCCCACACCCTCCCCTGCCGCTGCCGCAGTGAGGGATTCCGATTCCGCACCAGCTGCTTGCACTGTCCGCGCTGCTGCAACCCGTGATCCCCCCACACCCTCCCCTGCTGCCGCTGCCACTGCCGCAGTGTAAGATGCAGTCTCCGCACCAGCTGCTTGCACTGCGGGCGCTGCAGCTGATGCTGCTCCTACTGCCGCTGCTCCTGCTGCTCTCGTGCGGCCAAAGCTCCGCAAATGACGTGGCCCCCAGGTCTTCCTAAGTAAGGAGACGGGTAGTGTGGGGAACCGCATTAGCCTTTCCAGGGCGGATGCAGCGCGGGTAAGGTGGGGGTGTAGAGCGGATCGGATTAGGAGGCCCACGGAGGAGGAAATGGTGAAGCCGCCGCTGCTGCTGCTTCTGGTTGTGCTGGTGATGGTGGCGCCGATGCTACTGCTGTCACTGCTGCTACTCGCGGTGGCGATACTGCTGGTGGTGGCGACGGTGGCAGTGCTGCTGCTGCTGTTGCTCCCTTGCACGCCTCGAATTACCAAATGCAGTGCCACTCCCCCGGGGGGAGCAGCCAAAGAGAAAGGGGAAGAGGCGGAGGAGGAAGAGGAGGAGGAGGAAGCGGAGGAGGAATCCGGGGGGTCAGAGAGGGGGAAGAGGAGGGGTCCCACGTGGAACCAAGGCAAGGCGCCGGACAAACTCGCGCTGCTCGCCCCACACGGCACACCCACCCGCCACTCTCCCCACACCTGCTCCCCCGCCCCTCCTCCAGCTGCTCCCCCTTCCCCTGCTGCTGCTGCGGCGGAAGCGTTCAGCGGAACTGCCAGCAGCAGCACCTTCAGCAGCCGCTCCGCCTCCCCTTCCGCGCCCCCTTCCCCCTCCGCGCACAGGCTGGCGCGCGCAAAGAACGAGAGCGACAGCTGGCGCGGGGACTGCTGCTGCTGCTGCGCCTGCCGTGACGCATTGCTAGTCGGCACCGCAGGTTTGAGTTCGCACAGCGCTTGCGCCACGCCAGGGCCGCCAAACGGGCGAGTAGTACCATCGCTACTACTATTGCTGCTACCAGAAGCGCCGTCGCCATTAGACGACGTGGAAAAGGCGGAAGACAGCCGTAGAAACCGGGACCCATCAGCTGCCAGTAGGGTGTCCGAAACCCCCGTGACCCCGTCCTTTATTGACACGTCAGCAGGCGACGCCGCTCCTCCTGCTGTCGCGACCGCGGGTTTCGCCAGTGTCGCACCCGCTGGCGCGAGCATTGTTCCACGAAGTCCGCCGCCATTTGCGGTGGCTAAGAACTCGTCGCTTAAGATTGCTTCTCCAGGTTCCAACGCGCGCCACGGGAATAAGTACGGCCATGGATCGCATGACGCGTTCAGCTTCTTGCGACGCCAACCTATATCGAGACAGCTTGTATCGAAACTTGGGTTCGAGAGGAGATTTGAAGATTCACCTGTGACGGTCAAAGACGAGGGGGTATAACGGAAGAGAATAGGAGATTTAGAGGTTAATTGAGCGGATAGCAAACGAAACTTCAAAAGATACATACAGTGTTGCCAGCTCAGCTGAACGCTGGCGGCAACATCTAAGGCATGAACGAATAAACGGGAGGAGCGGAATTCACACCGGGAAAGCGACCGAAAGGTGGCTTACACTCGGAGGAGGAAGAAGGGGGTATGGTAGGAGGCAAAAGGAACGAGTAAATCGTGGAATTATGAATACGCTTGGAGAAGGATGGCTGCTATATGGTGGCCCGTCTCCATTAAAGGCGTGCTTACGACTCGACTAGTACTTCATTTTCAGGCGACGATACCGTAATTGGAAGTGATACCGAGAACGGGAGAAGCGGAGCCTCTTAAAATCGTTAGGTTATTATAGCAGTCGACGAGACCGCGAGCGACACGAACGAAGGCTACGAAATAGAGGAGAAACGTAACCCGTCGGATTTTCGCGACACAGTGAAGGCTCGTGGCCCCTGGGTGAACCCGCAATCTGCGGCGACAGATGCGGAACCAATTCATCTGCTCTGACACGGTCTCGGAATGAAAAATTTCTGAATAAAATACGCGCTGCGATCGGTTGCATTCTAAAAGAGGCGTCGGAAGTTTCTGAGCAAATCCCGGACTGACACTTGCCATTCCAAGCCGGCCTGTTGCGGCGAGCGTATTGGGACTGCTACTCGAGGAAAAGGTTGTTCTGGTGGCATGGCATGGCATGGACATGTGGGGAGTGACAATAGGGTGAAAGGTGCCTCAATGCACTGCAAGTTGCCAGTCAGTCCCTCCCTAAGGGCGCGTCAGATCCGTTACAAGGTGATTTGGCCGGAATTTATTCGACAATTTGGTCGACTATATCTTTCGCCAAAGTCGACAACATGGTCGACTTCAATAACGACCAATATCCGGCCACATTTACAGGGCCGAAAAATCTGACACATTTGGTGGCCGATTTGATGGCCGCTTTGCAAATGTGTCAGATTTGCAGTTCGCCAGGGTCGATTGGATTGTGCGACGGAGTCGCATATGCAGTATTTGTGTGACACGTTGCGTCGCACGAGTTGGCGACGTCGCGTAGTGACTGTAGTGATCTCAGGTCGACAAATCGGTCGACTTTCGAGTCGACTACACGTCCGAACTTTGTCGAATGCTGAACCGGCCATCAAATATATTACAAATGGCCAGATTTAGCGAACCCTTCGAAAATCTTTGCGGATGTCGCGAACGTGTTTTCCTTTGCTAATTCCGGCCGGCCGGATTTTCCAGAAAATGGATCTGACACACCCTGATCTCATCACACTGAAGAGAGTTCCAGTTGCACTTGGCCACTCATCTGCCAAAGTGCGTGTCGGTGCGCGGAGAACTGTGGAAGGGAGGTTGGAGTGGCAGCAGCCAATCGCCGCAATCGACTTGCAGTCACCGCACTGCAACCATGCAATTCTATACTGAAACTTGGGGAACCGCGACCAAACACTTATACAGGGTGAGATGAGGGGCAATCCAACTGGATTGGTCCCCGACGCGCACCGTTTCAACTTGGCATGATGTGGAAAGACAACACGAGGTGCGTGAATACAGCAATTCCTACCTAAGTGCTGCCTTTTGGTTTCTGCACGCTCTCCATTTATACTCAGCACAAGACCATTCTGCTGTCATTTATGGGTTGTGGGACGCACCACGCCCCGCATGGGACAAGGCGGTGCACGGAAGTACACCGAATGCGCTCTTCTGGAAATCAAATGTTTCTGGGCAGTTATTCCGCCCTCGGTTTCAGATAATATGCGGGAAGGTACCCCAAGAATATTCGTATCAGCTGTCATTTATTCTTGGGGTACACAGAATCCACATCCAACCACCTACAAAACAGTTTCGAGAAATTGCTGGATGGCAGGGATGTCGCTTCCAGAGCATTTACCCTGATTGGGGCTACTGTACTGTACAGGGCCTTCTTCCTGAAAGTGGAGGAATAAATCTGGCGTGCCACAATATTATTTGAAGTTCTACCCCCTCAACTACAAAAAAAAAAAAAATGTATAGATGTATAAAGGAAAAAATGCATAATCTATGTATTAATATAAAAGTTCATAGATCTATTTGAAACACCCTCTTAACTGCCTGCGGCAAGAAAGCTATGACGTCTGTGGCCCAACATCTGACGTTCAGCGACTGACGTGCAGTAGGCGCGGCATGTGAGACAAGCAGGCAAGGCAAGCAGTGACTATCGCCCAGCGACTTAAGTTCAGCAACTGACGCGCAGCAGGGCAGGAGAGACAGCAGGCGAGGGTAACACAAAGAGACACAGGCAAGGAGAAAATGTAACTACCGTCAGCCCCCGGATAGAAGCGCCCATGGGGTTGTAATAAAACACGGTTTTTTATCGGGTGCGCTTCTAATTGAGGATTTTTATAAGCGCCGGCGTCTATAAAATGTCAAATGTGAAATATGTTTTTTTTAACATGAAACTGAAGCTTTTCCAAAAGGGGATTCTATCCATATCCAGATTGTTCCTACCCGTGCATGAAAAACGCGTCAAGGGGCCAACAAGGCGTGGCATCACGGTCGCCATGCCTTGTTGGCCTGGCCAGATTCATCGTACGTGAATCTCGCGCATGCCAGCGCACACGTTGTTTTGTGTTGGACTGCCCAATCAGGGTCAATGGCCGTGCCAATCACGACGTTGTACAACCACGAAATGTTCATATGCGGCAAGATTCCTTGCCACCAAGGCTTCGACCCCACCACATCAGCTTCTCTGCGGGGAAATCTTGACAGTTTCCCACCTTTTCCTGCAGAGGAACTCGGGCCGCGAAGTTGGAGGGGTCTCGGATGAGGGCTTCAAACAAGCTTCATTCTCACCGTTCTTTCCAGGTTTCTTGTTTTCTCTCGGACTCCCTCTGCCATGGCGGGCCTTCCAGGCACCAATTTTCTCTTTAACCGCCGAGGTGGTGCTTGTTGAAATGAACGAACAGGAATGATTGAACTAACAGTGAAATCAGTACATGTACCTAACCCTAGAATTGTGTACCCCCTATAGGCTAACCCACAGTAGCCTAAACAAGCACAACATATATAATGTTTGACACACCCCCATAGGCGAAGTGGGGGAGAACTAGGGGTCACAAGACCAGTCAAGGCAAAGCAAGGCAAAACAAGCTGAGGGTGGATCTCAAGGATACCACACAAATTCTGAGCACAAGCAAGTGGTCACAAGACCACTTCACATGCAGGTTTATAATAGAACAAGAGGTACAAAGACACAACCTAGCAAGAATAAACAGGCAGGTATATATATATAGAGATCACAGTACAAACAGACTCAAGAAGTAAGCAAGTGAGGTCCAGTAGGCACAAGGCCTAGAAGAGTGCAAAAGCGCTGATGGTCACAAGGCTGAAGTACCTTGGTGAACACATCAGCAGTGTTGCCCTCAGAGGCCACATAACGCAGACGAAGCTGACCACGCTGCTGCAGCTCTCGAGCAAGGAAGTAGCGCAGAGCAATGTGCTTCGTTCTGTGCTCCAGTCTGTGCTCCTGACACATGGCAATGGCTGCCTTGTTGTCGACGTACAGCACTGGAGGAGAACGAGGCCGCTCTCCAAGGTCGGTCAGCAAGTAGGTGAGCCAGCGTAGCTCCTGGGCCGCCATGGCTGTGGCGTAGATCTCAGCCTCACAACTGGAGCTGAGAACAGAAGAAGAGCGAGTAGAACGCCAAGAAACTGAACCAGAGCCAAGACTGAAGGTGTAACCCTGAGACGACCGCTGAGTAACCTGATAGTCTGCCCAAGAAGCGTCTGAGTGCCCAGTGAGAACAACTGGGTCTCGCCCTCCAAGCACTAGCCCCATGCCCGACGTACTGCACAAGTAGCGCAACACCCTCTTAGCTGCATCCATGTGCTCCTTCCGGTGACGGCCGGGAGCGACATAGCGTGCAAGAATGCTAAGAGAGTATGCAAGGTCAGGTCGAGTGCAGGTCATCAGGCATGAGGCAACCAATAAGCTCTGGATACGGGTCACTCGGCTCTACGGACTCATCCGAAGGCAGAGCTGAGAGCGAGTGACCAGTAGGCAGAGGAGTGGGCTGAGGCGAGGAGTACATGAAGCGGAAGCGCTGAAGGACCTGCTGCACCATGTGTGACTGAGTCAAGGTGATGGTGCGGCGTGCTCTGTCCCGGGTGATCCGCAAGCCAAGATAGCTTGTCAGTTCACCCAGGTCTGTGCGTGTGTCTCTTCTGCAGCTCTGACTTCACGTGGGCGAGTGTCGCAGTGTCAGCAGTGGCAAAGACCAAGTTGTCGACGTACACGAGGATGTAGAACGGCAGCAGTGAGGTGTCGGTGCGTAGAAACAACGACGGGTCAGCAGTAGAAGGCGCGAACCCAAGAGCCGCAAGTGTAGTCCTCAGTGTGTCGTGCCACTCACGTGGCGCCTGGCGGAGACCGTATACTGGCCGTCGGAGGCTCCACTGGGTACCAGGAGGGAACGACCCAGTGAAGCCAGGTGGGCGGCGCAGCCAGATCTCCTCGTGCCGGCTGCCCTGTAGAAAAGCAGTGCTGAAGTCAAGAGAGTGGAGCTCGTAGTCACGCTGAGCGGCGACGTGCAGCAGAACCCAAAGAGTGGTCATCTTCGGGGTCGGGGAGAAGGTCTGGAAGAAGTCAACTCCCTCTCGCTGACTGAAGCCTCGTGCAACGTAGCACGCCTTGAAGACAGGCGGAGAGCCCGGCGGCCGCTTCACCCTGAAAATCCACATGCCACTAACGATGTTCGCCC